ATTGAATTAATGTTTAAGCTTACCTTTTAAAAGTTCAACTATAATTCTTCTGCTGTCAATTTAAAGACGATTTGATGTACGTAGATCCTTATTTTCCATACAAACAATTATTTTTATTTCATGGGTGACAGAACAGGGGAAAATTTATAAGATAAAATTACTATAGTGTAAAGATGGGAAAATAGAAATTAGAATTAGTTATACATTCAACATCTGAAGAGTTAGAGAAACATAAAAGCTAATTAAGTAAAACCTATATTATGGAATATAATATATTAATATATATTTTTAACCTCGCATAATCTGTCAATCCTGAATCTGAGCTCAACGAAAATCGTTCCTTGCGCCTAACTTTTGTAGGGCTTTTGAATGAGCTATGAATTATTGAAATCGGGCTAGTGGGTGCGGAAGAGTTGCTTGCACACACACACACACACACACACACACACACACACACACACACACACACACACACACACACACACACGCGCGCGCACGCACAAATAGACACAAATACACTTTACTTTATATATAAGATTCCTCTCCGTGAAAAGGAAATTGAACATAGTCTGCGCTAACGTTAGTTTCCCACAATACCGCACGTTACTACAAAACTAAAGTATTAACCTTAAAACTAAAATCATATTCTTAAATAGACCCAGCAGATCGTGGCTATCATATGGATGTCATGCATAGCAAAAAAACTTCTTCAGACATAGCTAAACTGTCAGCTTTCGCAGATCGATGGTTAAAGCGAATGAAGGTTTGTGTGAATAAAGCCTTTAGGTCCTAGTGAGAACTATCCTGCATTGAGCCTCGTAGACTGGAGCTACACAATCCTAAAACAAAGTAAAGTACCAAATAACAGAAACCGCATCACCTGAAAACCACCAAGAGTAAAACAACTAAAATGGATAGCACAAGTAACTCAAAGAGAAAATAATGATATAATCAATATGTTAACATTTCACACCAAGCAAAAGGTTAGGAAGAAACACCCGTCAATATTGGAAAGAGCATTAGCAGCTACTGGACATGAGAAAACTATTTTCCTGAAAAATTGTTTTAAGAGAAGCATTTTATAAATTTCACCCGAAACTAACACTGGCTACTCTGTCCATAAAGGACAACTGTTTCCTTATAAAGAAACGTTTAATATAACCATTACTATTAGAGATTAAGAGAGCACATACTACACTTTGATCCCACTTCTTAATGGCCTTGATCTAGTGAGGCTATTTAAGGACTGGACAACAGTTTTTAGGTTTAAGTCATAGTTAGTCAGCATTAGGTTTTTCCGCGTGCTAAGCTCCTAGTGCTTGTCGAACGAGACGAGGATATGCCGAAGTGCAATGACTCATATTAAAAGAAAACCCGGCCTTGTGCCACATCTCATCTCGTGGAAATGACTTGGGTAAATATTGTCATAGTTACTCCCACCATTTACATTGGTGTCATACATCTAGGTCTTAGTGAGAACTATCCTACTTTAAACCTCGTAGACTGGCGCTACACAATCCTAAAACAAAGAAACGTAATCAAATCACAAAAACTGCATCACCTGAGGACTACCAAGAGCAGAAACAACTAAAATGGATAGCAGATGTAACTCAAAGAGAAAATAATGACATGTTAACATTCCACACCAAACAAAAGGTTAGGGAAGAAACACTCGTCAATAGTGGAAAGAGCAATAGCAGCTACTGGTCTTGAGAAAGCTATTTCCCTGAAAAATTATTTTAAGAGAAGGATTTTATAAATTTCAACCGAAACTAACACTGGCTACTCGGTCCATGAATGCCAACTGTTTCCTTATAAGGAAACGTTTAATATAACCATTACCATTAGAGATGAAGAGAACATATACTACACTTTGATCTCACTTCTCTCAGTTGTCAGTTCAATGCCTAGGTCGGGTAATGCTGAAAAGTCCCATACTCCAAATTCGGAGGTGGGTGATTAATAGACAAACGATAGAAACTTAGATTAGACTGTTTAATTTAACGATGTCAACCTTTGTTTGGCCATTTAGTACCGAATAGAAGTCGTAGGAATAAAAAAAGAAGACGCAGAAAGGTAGACAATGGTCCGGTTTAAATTGATTTAAGAGGCTGGACTGATATTCTGTTCTACTCGTATCCACCCGGAAGCTGACCGCTTTTTTTTGCGAGGGGGAGCTTATGACCCTCTTCAGCGAATCCAGTTGACATATTTAAAGCCCCCCCCCCGACAGCACAGGCAGCACAAAGAGTGGAAAGTTCTAACTGTAGAATGAAAACATTCTATCCGCATGTAAAGTCTTTTGATTCAAAATTTCAAGAAGTTTACTGAGTGCAAAAATAATCACCTGATGAAGTCCAGAGCAACGACCGAAACGTCGCGAGTGTAACTCATCTCAAAACGTTCAGTTTGAAAGGTTAACAGACGTTTAATTTAATTTCAGTGTCGGGTTGTTGACTACATTAAAAAAAAAAAAAAAAACTGGAACGGTTGCTACCCATCCCTTGGATGTTACATTGCTCGTTCAGAGAAACGCATAGGAAAAAATAAAAATAGAAAGAGAAGAAAAAGGGAAGATAAAAATGGATGCACTTCGGTTTATGTTAAATCAATCATAAAATTCTTATTATTCTTAATTATAACATTCTTATGTGGGCGTTCAGAACTGGTACGGATCGGGGAAATCCGACTAATTAAAACAAAGCATCGTGTGGCCGGCCGATCCGTACAGATACGATATGATTTCTGGCCATTGCTCTGAATGTCAATGTGACAGAAATTCAACGAGGCACGGGTAAATGGTGGGAGTTACTATGACTTGATATTTACCCAAGTCCTCCCCACAAGATGTAACACAAGGCCGGTTCTTTAACGTGGGGCTTTCCGAGCCCGTACGCTCAGGCAAAGATTTCCCTTAGACCCCGTAATAACGGGGTCGGATTTGTATACCTTCCTAGATGAGACTCTGCCCTTCGGTATATCCTGAAGGCAGAGAGTTTGACAAGCACTAGGAGATTAGCACGATGCTAAGACCTAATGCTGACTCAACTATTACTTAACCTAAAAAACTTTTGTCAAGTCTTTTAAGGGATCAAAGTGTAGTATGTGTTCTCTTAATCTCTAATAGTAATGGTTATATTAATCGTTTCCTTATAAGGAAACAATTGGCATTCATCGACTGAGCAGCCACTGTTAGTTTCGGTTGAAATTTATAAAAACCTTCTCTTAAAATAATTTTTCAGGAAAATAGCTTTCTCAAGTCCAGTAGCTGCTATTGCTCTTTCCACTATTGACGGGTGTTTCTTCCCTAACCTTTTGTTTGGTGTGGAATGTTAACATGTCATCATTTTCTCTTTGAGTTACATCAGCTATCCATTTTAGTCGTTTCTGCTCTTGGTAGTCCTTAGGTGATGCGGTTTTTGTTATTTGATTACTTTTCTTTGTTTTAGGATTGTGTAGCGCCAGTCTACGATGTTTCAAAGTAGGATAGTTCTCACTAAGACCTAGATGTATGACACCAAACTCTTTCAGAAATATCTAGACTGTCAACTGCATGCAACCATATCAATGATTAAAATTGACTGTCATCGAACGAAGCGTGTATGTTTGTTTATTTTTTTTGGGGGGGGTGAGGTGCACTTTCTTCAAGCATTGTGGACTGGCGCTACAGAATCACTGACAAAGAACTGTCCCGAATAGCCGAAATCATATCACTTGAGGAAAATCGATAGGACGTGTATATCGAAAAGAAAATAATGACATGATCAAAATGTTGACGTTCCACACTATTTCAAACAAAAGGTTAGTAAGGAAACTCCATTCAATGCTGGAAAGAGCGATAACAGCTACTGGGCGCTCATCAAAACAGAGTCGACATATTGGACTTTAAAGGATTTTAAACATGCCAACTAGATTCCTTGGAGAGGGTCATAAGCTCCAACTCGAAAAAAAGCGGTCAGCTTCCGGGTGAATATGAGTAGAATCGAATATCATCCCAACCTCTTAAATCAATTTAAACCTGACCTATATCTACCACTCTGTTTTTTCTTCCTTTTTTTTACCCACGACTTCTATTCGGCCTTGAATGGCTAAATAAGGGTTGACGTCATTAAATTAAACATTCTAACTTTTAGTCAGTTATGTGCCATGTGTGATACATGACTGACAAGGCAGATTTTTCCCGCAGTAGGTTGCCATTTCTTTCTGCCATCCAAGGCTATAGAATCCGGTCTGTCCTGCTATTTACCCATATTGGAAGGAGGAGAAGAAGAGGATTCATACTTTTTCTAAGGGTATTAGCACGGAAGTGAATGTAATGAATCCGACTGGCACGGTGGAGTAATGTATAGCGGCTCGGATTGAGGAATTGAGAGCCGAGTTCGAATTCCAGTCAAATCCATTACATTCACTTACGTGCTAATACCATTAGAAAAGGTATTAATCCTCTTCTCCCACAGGCTATGGGTAAATAGCAGGACAGACTGGGTTCTATAGCCTTGGATGGCAACTGGCTTACCGCAGAAAGAAATGCCAATTGTCAGTCATGTATCGAAAGATACATGATCGCCTAAGCGTGTATCACGCATAGCACATAAATGACTGCATCTAAGTTTCTATCGGTTGTCCATTTATCATCCTCCCACCTCCCACCTTGGAGTATGCAACTTTTCAACATTACCCCACCAAGGGACTGAACTCGTAACTTAAAATTATATGCAATGCCTGTTAAGCTGACTTAAAATTTTGAACAATGTTAAAATATGAAAGGTTACCATTTTTCTTTTATTGAACGGCGATAAATAAGGATTGTGACTCGGTAAAAATAAAATGGTGACCATGAATTATACTTTTGGTAGAAGTTTTAATTTTTTTATTAGTGAGGTGAGATTATTAAAATGATCGTTGTTAGTATGAATCATTTTCGTTATTTTTTAAACTCATGTCTATTTATGAGGAAAGCGACCATGATACTAAAAAAGATTCCTTTTCATTAATATGGCTTACGGCCATATCACGTTGAAACATTGGTTCCTGTACGATTACCGAAGTTAAGCAACATCGAGCCTGATCAGTACCTAAATAGGTGACTGCTTGGGAATACGAGGGGCTGTAAGCTTGTATGTGTGAGGGTGATCTAATGGATAACGGCATTGAATTGTTAATCGGAGAGCCGAGTTCTAATTCCATTTGGTTTCGTTATATTCATTTACGGGCAAATACCCTTGAGAAAGGTACGAATCCACTTCTCCCTCAAGCTATGGGTTAATTAGTTAGCTTTGTATCACTAAGATACTAATAAGATAATATTGCATACACAATATTTAGATTTCGGTTTGGTTTGTTTTTTTTTTTTTTTTTTTTACGGCATATCAACACCTCAATGGGTTATTTAATGCCGGCAAAATTTTTATTACTGGTAATATTTTTTTCTTTCAAAAAACTATTTCTGGCAATATTTTTCTCCAAAAATGTAGTGCTGGTAATACTTTTTTCAAAAATATAATATTGGTAATGTCCGAGAAATTTTCATAGAAAATATTCATGGAAGGTTGAAGTTTAAAAGCAGTAAAATCGAACTTGCCAATCGAACGATTCTCCGTGGCTCGAGTGGTTAAAGGCACGTCAGGCTAAATGACGTTTCCGTATAGGATACAGGTTCGATTCCTGTCTGAGAAACAATGTTTTCTACGAAAATTTCTCGGACATCCAGGCCGGTAAATGATGTTTAATACTGTTTATTATAAACAGAGCATTTACTTAAATATTTGTATCTATAAAAAGAATGTATAAACATAAAAATGTCTTAAAATAATTGTCGGACTTTGTCCATTTCATAAATAAATTATTCTTGCCTGTTTGTTTACCAACATCGATTCTTGAGTTTCTTAACTTAAATATAACATTTTCCTTCACAACATAAACGATCATGGCTCTCCACAGATTCCTTTTCTTTATTATTATTGTTATGATTTACTAAGGAACCTAATGAACTTGTTTCCCGTTTACTTCCAGCCTTTTTGAATTAAGGGCAGTCATCCCAGATTGGATGCCTCCCATGTCTATAAAGCATAGAATTATATATTCTTTTTGTTCTCATTAGGAGAGGGAGATATGGGTTCGTGGTAATGTTAATGGTGATATCAGACGTTTACTTATAAGGAAACTACAGAAGGTAACGAAGGAAAGCGAGAAGAAGGGACTAAGTGTAAACTACAAGAAAACAGAATGCATGGTCATCAGTAAAAAGATGAGCGCGAAATGCGATTTACAGGTTGGGGACACTAAAATCAAGCAGGTGCAGAAATTTAAATATCTTGGAAGTGTTTTGACAGAAGACGGTAAGTGCGACACTGAGATCCGAAGACGTATTTGGATGGCCAAAGACGCATTCCAAGAGCTAGGCAGAGTATTAAGAGACAGAAGGATTTCTTTGGTAACAAAGAAAAGAATACTGAACTGCTACGTGACATCTGCCCTCATTTACGGCAGCGAATGTTGGACGGTCTCCTCAAAGATAAAGAAGAGACTCGAGGCAACGGATGTATTGTTCTACAGAAGGATGCTGAGGATACCATGGACCGAGCATGTGAGCAACGATGAGGTTTTGGAGAGGACGAAAACAAGGAGGAAGATTATACTTAACATCAGGAAGAGGCAGCTGAAGTTTCTAGGACACGTAATGAGAAAGGAGGGCTTGGAGAATCTGATACTCACAGGTCGAATAGAGAAAACAAAGACAAGGGAAAGCAATGCATAACGTACCTAGCTGGCTTAAGCAAGTGGATGACAGAATATGGCCTGCGGGGAATAGGAAAGGGACAAAACTTGTTGAGAGCTACAAGGTATGGAGAAAGTGGAGAGCCATGATCGCCTACGTCCTGAAGGGACACGGCACCTAAAAAGATATCATTACAAACGGAATAGGTTTTCTCCGTTTCAAATCTATAATGTAAGTAGGATATACATGATATATGATATAACATGATATAACCTGGATATCATTTAAGTTATAAAAGCGAATGCCATTACACGATTAAATCACAAGAAATCAATAAATTTCAACGCGCATGGCGTCCATATGAGAGTTTGGATCTGACGAGGCTATTTAAGGACATGGCTCGAGTCCGTGGTGTAAGATAGAATACAGTGGTCGTAAAAATAAGAAGAAAAACTTCGTTTGAGTGAAATTGTCACGGTTGGCAAAGAGAAAGTTGTTATGGGTTCCGCCCCTTTTTCATATAAATGGACTCGACCAGAGTGTTACTTGGACTGCTGCCGTTAAATACCTGGAGTCAGAACGGAAATAGAGATTGTGATTGAGTTGGAGGTAGAGTAATAGTGTGAGGTAACCTCTTGTAGAAGTCAGTTACAAGCACGTAGACTCTAAGGAAGTCTTACTTCGAGACTGTATATATCTATCTGTATTTGCTACTAACCGCGTTCCTGGACTTACTAACAGTATTCCTGCTGCTAACAGTCATTACTATTTCTCTCTCTATGTGCTATATCCCTTCACGACGTAAGCGACCATGGCTCTCCACAGCTTCGTTTTTTTATATGTTAAAATGTGCAATCCACTGTTGTTTTTGGTAAATACTGTTTCCGTTGTCTATCCTATATATCCTGATAGAATACATTTCTTACTCACCACTTTACACCCTTCTAGTAATGCTACATCTTACACTCTTCAGTAACGCTCTAACTTGAGCTGCTCTTGAGCATTTTATTGAGTGAATAATACTATTAAAATTTTCTCTACTGTTTTGAATTTAGTTTTCCTTTCCCTAGACTGTCTCTCAACGACGGTTAGACACCCCCCCCAATGTGTTATTCAGAGCTGGGCGACTAAAACAACAACAACTAATACTACTATTACGACTACTAGTAATTATAATGGTGTTGCTATTACTAATACTACGAATGATAATCATAAACTTTGACAAAGTTTAATATCAAAAGTTCTTTATGGTATTTTGTAATTAGTATTTCCTGCTGTTAAGTCATTCTATTTCATATATATCAGTCTTTGAACTCGTTTGATTTTCGCATCAGATTCTATTTTTTTTTTAGGTCAGAATTATGTCTTTTACTGTTGTTGTCTTTGTTCCTGCCTGAACGATACCAAAAAGAAATACTTCACCAATCTGCTGATCTAAACACGAGAGAATTTCAAATTGCGCGATCAATAAACATACGAAAATAGATACACACTCTATTTAAGGATCAATTTGAGAGAAGGATCAATGTCTTTAGAAAACCTTTACGTCTTTAAAACTATTTTATTTCAGTTAAAAAAAAAAAGCACCAAAGAGAGAATCAATATTAAAAGCAGGTTTGCTATTCTTTTATTACACAGAAAAAACCGTTGCATTCTTCTTGAATTAATCTTTTATTATAATTTTCCTTTTTTTTTTGCAATCTCCTTTTGAACTTCTCTTTGTCCGTCTTTGACATAAACATGCATATATGGACAGCTTGTTTGATGCATTATCGGCTAAAGATTTTCTATCCTTTGAAATTTATTGATTTCTTCTCACGATTTCATCGTAGAACGACATTCTGTTTTATAACCTTTACGTCGTTTCTACTTATATAATATATTTGATGCTGAAAATATCATTTTCATACTGCAGATATCATTTTGATATTGAACATATCATTTTAATACTGAAGTTATCATTTTGATACTGAAGATATCATTTTGAAAATTAAAGATATTATTTTGATACTGAAAATATCATTTTGATATTGAAGATATCATTTTGATATTGTAAATATCATTTTGATACTGAAAATATCATTTTGATATTGAAGATATCATTTTGATGCTGTAAATATCATTTTGATATTGAAGATATCATTTTGCATCAAATAAATCTAGTTCTACAGAAGGATGTTGGGAACGCTGTGGACAGAACACGTGAGCAACGACGAAGTTTTAGGAAAAAATGGAAACAAAAGGTACACATGTACTTAACAAAAAGAGGCTGCTGAAATTTCCGGGGTGCATAATGAGGAAAGAGGGCTTGGGAAATTTGATACTCACAGGGCATATTGAAAGGTGAGAGGAATACAGTGTATAACCTGCCTAAAGAACTTGTGCAAATGGATGACAGAACAGGATCTAGGAGAGACAAAAAAAAATTATTAAGAACTACAAAGGCCAGGAAATTGTGGCGAGCCATGATCGCCAACGCGCTGAAGGGAAACAGCGCATAGAAGAAGAATAGTTTCACGGGTGTGAGGATAGTGCAACGGTTACCAGCGCGAAAAGTCGAACCGGCGAGACGCGTTGAAATTCCCGCCTATTCTGATTGCGTTCACTTTCGCACCACCGCCTCTTGTGTTTTAATTATATGGACCAGCGTTTCAGTTTCTTTTCTTTGTCAGTGTGTGTGTGTGTGTGTGTGTGTGTGTGTGTATAGGAATAGTAGTAGTAGCAGTAGTGGTAGTAATAGTAGGAATATTAGTAGTCGTAGTGGTAGCAAGTAGGAGTAGTAGTAGTAGTGGTGGTAGCAGTAGGAATAGTAGTAGCAGTACTGATGGTAGCAGTAGGAATAGTAGTAGCAGTAGCGGTGGTAGCAGTAAGAATAGTAGTAGCAGTGGTGGTAGCAGTAATAAAAATAGTAGTAGCAGTAGAAATGGTAGCAGTAGTAATACTATTAGTAGTAGTAGTGGTAGCAGTAAGAATAGTAGCACTAGTAGTACTGGTGGTAGCAGTAAGAATAGTAGTGGTAGTTATGGTTGTAGCAGAAGGAATACTAGTAGTGGTGGTAGCAGTAGTAGTAGTAGTAGTAGTGATAGCAGTAGCAATATTACTAGTAGTAGTGATTTTAGCAGTACGAATAGTAGTAGTAGTAGTGATTGTAGCAGTACGAATATTAGTAGAAGTAGTAGTGGTGGTAACTGTATAAATAGTAGTAGTAGTAATGTTAGCAGTAGGAATAGTAGTACTAGTAGTAGTAGTAGTGGTGGTGGTGGTGATGGTGATGGTAGCAGAAAGAATAGAAGTTGATTGAACGTTGGATAATTATTTTTAAAAATAATTTATTTTACAAGCATTTCATTTCAGAATATTTGCCCATTTGGTGAATTCTAAAACGATGCTGAAAAT